CTAACTGTCGTAGACTTCTTCAGGGAGTTTTACAAGTATAACTAAACGCCTGTGTTTATACGCCAAAGTTACAGGGGCCGGTGACCGTAAAGGCTTGGCCGGACTTACGAACAGGAACAGGCGAAGTTGTGAAAAATTTGTGAAAAATTTAACACGTTCCTGTTCGTAAGTCCGGCCATGCCTTTATGGTCATCGGCCCTTGTCACTTTCGCTTATAAATACAGGTGTTTAGTTATACTTGTAAAACTCCCTGAAGAAGTCTACGACAGTTAGGCGAAACGCGTAGGAAAATAAAAGAAGTTTTACAACTACTGTTCGCAGAAGTGCTGCTCACTAGTCTATATTTAAAAAATTGTTTAAAAAATCTATTACTGGAATTACCAAAAGGGAAGATGTAGTCCACACTCAGTGACCGATCTTTTCAAACAGCCGCACCAAAACTTTGGAATGTTGTTCCATATAATATTAGAAATTCAAAATCGTTGAATCTTTTTAAAAAATATTTAAGGACGTATTTATTTAAAAAAGCTTTTAGTTGTTAAATATCGAATTACATTAGATTAGATTATATATATTTTTGTACTTAAACTACACCGTTCATTTTTTGATATTTTATTGACATATGTTTCGCATATATATTATTTCATTATTAGTTTTTTCTTTTTCTATTTGTTGTTTCTTTTCAGTTAGATTTTTGTAACATTTTAGTTTCTGCGCTGATTAAAACGTATATTGATATTAGCGCAATATAAGTTAATATTCTTAATGATATTCTTAATAATATTTACTTTGCCTGTGAAAAATACAAGTATGTAATGGAATTTATCCTATCCTCGGAAAATTCTAGGTATATAATATGTTAGTTTTACAACACCAATATAACATGGGAAAAGTGAGGTGACCACGTGGTCTAGTACTCACTTTAACTTCATTCTAGGAATATAAGGTGACGTAAAGAGTTACATTCTTACATGTGTAACAGAAGAAAAAAAACAATTAAAACAGTTCAAAATATTTAAAGATAAAGATGGATTTCCCGACCAAGGCGGTCCGGGGACCTACAAATGAAATCAATCGATAAGACTGCTTAATGCTTGTCCTGCGACAGCTGATTACTATCAAATTTTGGACCGGACTTTCTTCCGAATGGTATTGCGCGACTTGGCCGGCAAAAGATTTCCACATCAAAATGGCAGAGTCTAGCAAAGAAACTTGTAGGAGGAAACACTGGTACTTAATTTCGCGGGTCTTTTCTTTTTTCGCCTTGGTTGCTATCATTAAACAATAGAGAAATTAAGACTTGCGACTGAAAAATCCTCATGAAAATCATACAGGCGAAATTTAATCCACTATAAAGAATTCAAATCACGGAATAAATTTATCATGTAATAACGGCAACGTATACATGATGTGTATCGGAAAAAACGCAAATTGCTCACTGATCACACTAGTAACTTTGATTTTATATCTAATGATGAAATGACGTTAATTTGCACATATTGACGTTAATTTGCACATATTGCACATATGACGTTAATTTGCACATATTTCGCATATGGAGTATGCGAAATTGTTCTTGGAAGCGCTGGATCTGACTGCAATTAGTTTGTGTTATGTTTTTTTTTAAGTAAAGGATTCAATGGATAATAATAGTTTCCAGACTTCTGTTTACCGAACTTGCTCAGGACAGCATTAGCAGAGTATCGGTTCTCGGTCTTTTAGGAGTGGATCAAGTGCGAAATCTTGGGCCAATATTTTCCTTGTACGAAACACGCGCTTCGTTATTGTAAAACATTCATAATTTCTATCTTCCTGCCGAAATGGTAGTTATCCTATAGGTTATAACTGCAGAAAAGTTTAATAGTAATATTTCCAACCATGTAATATGTCCGTAAAGCACGAATACCGGCGCGAACGATCGAATAATTTTTTCCCAAAAATTTGTCAAATTAGATCTAAGACAGTGTACTAACACCTACCATCTATTTCACAAACACCTCCTTGACTAAGATTTGTCGGGTTCCCCAATAGCTTTAACCAGTGTAGCATTGCACTGTGTTTTACGTCATCATTTTCCATAAAAGGTTGCGTCAAGGATCGGTAATGGGCTTCTGTCATGCTTCGGGCACGATGATGTAGCGCCTTCTCGTGAAAAACACTTTTACGACATTTAAGTAGGCCATCGATCGCAACTTGGAGTTTTGAATCAGCCTGTTCAATTCTTTGATGAGCTTCAAATAACTCTCTTCCGATATCTTTGGGAACTGACTTCGTCTGTGAACCAAGGAATAGTTTAAGATTAGCAGGATAGTAACTAACCTCAAATGTAAAACTAACAGTTATTTACATTTAGTTCGTCGATGGTTTGCTTGCATTGATAATAAAAGGTTAAACTTGGATTTAATGCCACAAAACGTTCGCTTTTCATAAATTAACTCGATGGAGGATAAAAAGTATGATGTACGATTTAAAGCACTAGTAAAATGAACATTCCTTTCGAACTATTTTCTCACCAAATATCAGACTTAAAAATGTGATACCATCTGTTTGCATAAAGCTCCTATTTTCAATTTTTCAGCTTAACTGACAAGCATGATTCTAAACCGCCATCTAGGCAAACACTGAACCTGCTTTCCCTAAATTTCACATTCAATAAGTTGATTCTTGAGCTTAAGAGCAATGGTAACGCAGCTAAAGAGACCAGACTTCTTTTTGTACGTCATTCTTGGTCAAATGTTGTAGGGATGTTGGGCCCAGTTTTCCCAAATGCGATGGCAATAATCGAACTGTTAGTCGCCGTTTAGGAAATACATGTGCTACTTTAAACATTTCTCCTAAATCCATGTATGAATGGATAAAGGAGAAATGGAATCGATTTAAGTGGTGAATTTTTCCGTCAATAAATGTGGCTCAAAATTTTTCTGACGATTATTTGCTGCTCACCTCGCGCATGCGGTGTTTCAACTCTGACAGACTGCACTCCTTCATAGTCTCACTCTGACTTCGGCCTCCAATCCGCACAATTCCCTCAGGATGAAACTGATGGATTCCCTCCAGAAACTGGTCGAGCGCATGGTTCGTATAACAGACAATTAGTATTTGATGATGCCCTGCGAGTCGAGAAAACATGTTCCACTGACTCCTTCTTTCCGAGTCCCACTTGCTTTTGTTATGCAACAAGACATTGGCAATCTGCAAGACGCAAATTAAAGTGCTACTGAAACGAAATTATCGTATGTGAAATTTTTGCTCTAACCTGTAGTTTTGAATATGCTGATCATCATGAGATAATTTGCTTTGGCCAAACAGAAGCGAAAGATA